TTGTAGTTGTAGTTATATTATCCACACTGTCTCTATTTGTAGCTTTTATAAGAAAAAGTAGGTCAAGCGCAATATTATTTTTGCACACAATCGTCACATAAGTTCACCAATATATACAGGTACATACCACTATAAGCCGCACACACATACATAAACATACTACTTGCACTTATAATTGTCTCTCTTTCCAATTCTTTCGCAAAGCACTACGAATTGCATTCGTTTGAAACTTTTTTCATTTTATAAATTATAGCAATTTTTCCAAAAGTAAAAAAAAAAGAAAAAAAAAAACCAAAAACAATAATACAAGTCATTATAAATTCATTGTTGTTGTTTTTATAATCATTTCTGCAAATGCATACATCATACCTATGGATGTGTTTTCTTTGGATTTCTAAACGCTTTGAAGTCTTATTGGGACAATAATGTGGCGGTGTGCCACTTAAGCATACATATACTACTTTAGGAAAGGCTTCGAGTTTCCTGTAGATAATCTATCGATAAAGTAACCTTTAGTTTTAAAAAAAAAAGAAAAATACTGTTTAGCGAGCGAAGAGAAACTCAGCGGCAAAGAAGAAGATCAGCATTTCTACCACAAAGGAATTTCAATTGTTTTCTTTTCCCTTTAACCTCTAACTGTCCTAAATATTTATAATGATATATTAGTTTTCATTCAAAGTATTATTATAACCTAAGACTACAACCAGAAAGATATCGCAAAATATTGTATTTGCAAATCTCTGTATATTCCGATCAAGTAATCATAAACTTTTTGACACGTTAAGGCTATCGTGCGTAGAGCGTGAGGCGCGATAAAGTAGGCTAACGGAGTTCTGTTGATTTTATTTGAGCTTAAATCTATCTCTCAATTATTCAGTTATTCAAATTCGAAAATATTGTGCTATCTAATGCCAACAGCAATCATTTCCTTACTGAGAAACCTTTGCTGCGGAAGTAGCTTATGCATGGCTGTTCTTCCATTTTAATCGCTTTTTCCATCTTTTCTTTGCGCATTCACTTCATTTCCCCTGTGTCCTTCTTTTTATATCCATAGCCGAAGGATGAGGGGCACATCAATTTTCATTTTGTCAAGAAGTTTGCAACGCCCAGAAATCAACTTCACACTGTATGTATTCTTGATTAAGATCGAATTCTGAATCGATTTAAGCATGATCGTTCTTCCGCCAAAATGAAGCTGTCGACTTCAAATTTGGTAGAAATATTGCAAGTTCTTTCACACAGGTTGATACACAATATGTGCCAAATCGGTTGAAGGAAACGTTTCCACTACCGCGTATGCCGGGACCGCCTTTATTTTTCAAAAGGAATAAAAAACGGTTTTCTTTGCTCACTATTTATAAGCTACAGCAGATAAGCTTACAAAATTTTGGACATATGGGTGATGCAGTAGTATTTGTACAATAATGAGGAAGCTTCGCCCCGCCTACTCAATATTATGGAGTGTCGCAAATTCATTTTTCTCAATACCTTTACAACGCCCAGAGGCAAACTTCAAGAATCCCATCCAAAGTATATAAGTTTGTAGCCAGTTTCAAATTCGGAATGCAGCTGTTCATCAGCCCATCTGTCCATTTGTCCGTCTGCCCGACTATCTAATGTCTATGGTAAACATTCTCCCATTGGCAAAATTGGAAACATCACCTACAAATTTGTAAAGCAAGGTAAAGTTGCAACGATCGCAACGACCACACGCCTGTGCAATAAAAACTATGAATACTTTTGCTGTCCATGTTTTTTGTGTGTTACTCATAAAGTACAACACGTACATAAATTTCATAAATTTCTGTTTTTATTCTGAAGCGGGTCTTTCATACCCATCGCCGCCCGATGCTGGTCAATAATATGTAGACTTTTTACGCCCTCCGAAGATTCCTTCTCAGCGCTGCAAACGATTGATAAAAGAATGGAATTTCAATATTCTATACTATTGAGAGAGTATGGCCGATTTTTTCCCATTTCTGTACATGTGCTGAAGGACCACCTATAGAATATATGTGCAAATGTTTATCAGAGTATCTATTGCGGTTCGTAAGTAACGAGCGGAAGGCCAACATTTTTTTATTTTTGCAAAAATAGCTGAGCTCAGGCTATATTTCACTGGAATTACGCTCTTAGGCTTAATTTCAATGTCAACCTGCTTGGCAGAACTTCCAAAATTCCCATGCCGATTGTGGACAGACGGACGCGCAACAACTCTTCAATGTGTGCTAGTTGCAGGTCTGCAGGCAGTCTAAAACCTCAGAGACCAAATGCCATGGGACCTAATCTGGTTTTGGTAAATCTTGACTGCTAAAGCTCTAACTCGTGAGAACGAGAATACTTCTCAGAGTATAAAATAACAAAAACAGAGCCAGAATCTTTTATTCAGCATTTTTGCGACTTTAGAACGATTCAAATCTTTAAGAAATATTGTTAAAGTAAGAATATTGATTGATCTGCATAAAGTCATTCCTTTTGTTTGGATAAATGTTGGAATCCTTGCCCAAAACTACCTTCAGAAAGCAATTCGAAAATCTCTATAGTCAGATGACGATCGCTAAGAAGAAGAATCGTCTGCAAACTTTTGCTACCCGAGCTTACAACTCTGTTTGCGAGGAAACCTTCATTTAGTAAAGGATATTCTAGGTTACGAAGGTGCAGTTATATCACATGCATCATAATATACATAAACATAGATTTTTCGGAAATTTTTCGAAAGAGTACACAATAAAATGATCTCCCGAAAGTACTTACATATGTTTAACTTCTCTGCTGTTGCGCTCTGACCCGAAGCGATCATTCAGCGGCTTTGCCGTACAAAAGCTCGCACTTTCTTAGAACCCATATATGGGATTGAGTACAAAAAAAACCGGATTCAAATTTGATACAATCAATTTTTAGGTCAAAATGCTATCATCATGGATCATTTTTCATTATGGAAATTAGTTTCTGTATGCCATATAAGACCTCGCTTTTCGTAAGAACGGGGAGAGGTTCAAAAAGTTGGCCCAACCGCTAAAAATTTTTCACATCAATTTAATGTAATGAAACAGTTATACCCTATTAGAATTTTTACTTAGGGAGGAGATGATGATTTATGCGATAGCTGCTGCAACGATACAATAAATGCTCATTAGCGTAAATTGGACTCATTCTTGAACGCTTGTGTACGCAGTTAATGATTACAAAAGTTAGTGATAGAGATTTGATTGGTCTGTAGTTCTTCCTACGCACATGATTTATACCAAAGTAAACGTACGTTGAGCTATGGGTTTATAGTTGCTAATGGATTTAATGAAAAAAAATAAATAAAGTATATAATATTTTTACAAAATTCTACTCAACCAAGTAAGTCACCAATCGTTGATTTATTGACTTGCAGAGAAGAAGAATTATAATGCACAATAGATATTACATAGGACTCATTTAAAACAAAGAGAAAGATATTTGCGTTCATTTTACTGCGTGTGTGTCTTCTGACGAAATCGGCCTGTTTTCAATATCAACCTACGTGCAGAAACTTGCGACGCTTCCACCAAATTTGAAGCGATGAGGAGACATGGCTTAATCAGTTCAGAATTTCACGATGATCAAGAATATATATGTATACTGTACATAGTCTCTGAAAATTCTTTTTGCGTGATGCAAACAGCACGACAAACTGAATATGGCCCTTATCCTTCAGTAGGTGGTATACCAGGACGGACAAGGAGTGATTCCGAACCGACCGATATAATAAAAGGTGAGCTCATGTCAAGTCACTTTGCTTGTGGCATGCATCCATCCATGCAAACTTGTAATGTTGTTATAATGCAGGGGGATAGTGTAAATTATGTATAAAGATATTTTAAACTAATATACTTAAGGTTTGATTGGTATGCTACGAAGCCGGCATTACGCGTCTTTTTAACTGCGACCCTCACCGAATTTCGTTTTCAATAAATCCCAAGTTTTTGGTGACCGTACTTCATATTGCCTTGCTTTATTGAAAAACTCTTCACAATAGTATCTAGTTCCTGAGAATGGTGCATAATAAGCAAATATCCTCTGCGAGTCAATCACATTATTTTGTTCTTTACGTGTACTTCCCTGTCTTATTACTAAGGACACACAAGCTTAAAAAAGGCGGGTTTATCTCAAGTCCTTGTTGGTATCGCATACATCCGCAAAAATTTAATATATCCTTACACCACAAGCGATGCAGAGTATAAAATCCTTCAAGTTTTAGAACACCAAACACCTTAGAACAATTTTCTTAAACTTTCGATCGGTTCGAAATACTGACATTCATAGGAAAATTGACTACGCATACCCAATATTACAGTGTATTGAAATTTAATGTTTTTTCAATATTTTTATAACGCGCAGAATCAAGCTTGAAAAACTCGGTAAAGTATGTAAATTCTTGTCCAGTTTCAAATTCGGGATGCACTTAAGTATGTCCAAGTGTCCGTCTGTCCAACTATATACTTTCTGAGGTAAAGCTTCTGCCGATTACAAGAAAGAAGAGATCAGGTACAAACTTGTAAAACAAAGCGTTAATGATTTAAAACGACAAAGGACACACCCACAACGCCCACTCACCTATGCTGTGTGTTTTACTTGTTATTCATAAAGTACAGTATACAGATCAAATAATCATCATCATACATCACTTTTATTCTGAAAAGAGAAAAATCTCAATCGCGCCCAGCCAATACGATATAAACTACGCAAATGCAGTTCTTCACTCTAGTTGTTTATTCTAATTCAGCAGATCTCAAATGCGAGACGTTTCCCTCTCGTGATACATTATTGAGCAAACTGCGTAAAATATTTTCTTAGTTTTTTTTTACGTTTATTTATTCTTAGAATTTTTCTTTTATTCTTATATGGTAGTAAGATAATGAAAGAATTTAATTTTTTCCTTTTTTTTTTTTTTACATTTACTTTTTACTCCCCCTTCCTGTTGTTGATTTTGTTTTATTGAACATTTTATATACATTACAATTATTTAAGTAAATCAATTGAAGAAGTTTTTGTTTGATTAATAATTTTTGTTTAACTTGTACCTCCGATTAACTCACACGTAAATTAAAGGTACTACAATAAACAGCAGTTTTTTGCGATATTTATGGACAAGAAGTTAGTTAAGAAATTACTCAATACTTAAAAAATAAAATGAAGAGAATAATAACTTTTTATAAAATAATTATATGATTCATTTGATAAAATTTCCATCTAAAATAAAAACAAAATTCAGTCAGCGCGAAAACTTTTGCAAATTAACTGAACTTTTGTAGTTGACCTTTAATTAATTATGTACAATTCTTCACACATGTACATAAAGTCAAACTTTCGTTGATATCCTTTTTTTCATCCAATTATACCATGAATAATTAACAATAACAAATAACGGTATTTTTTGGAGACGCAAAATTAATCAAATATAAATCGTACTGTAAACTTTTATGTAAGTTGTTATCGTCTGTGCAATATATTAGATAATGTTCGCATCTGTTTTTGCAATTCTGAATCCATTTTCGCTGTTTCCTCTTCAAATATGTGACGCATCGCGTTCAAATCGGGCAGTTGATTTGCTTTTATATTCAATATGTCGCCAAAAAATTGAGTCCATACATGTTTCTTAAGATAACGTGGCAGCTTTTGTTTAATATCCCATGATCCTGCTCGTTTTTGCAATTGCATATACTCGCCAAAGAGCATAACGTGCACGGTACCCGCTATGCAAAATAAATCGGTTTCATACGACCATGAGCGACCCTCTTGCATTTCAATGCAAGTGAATCCGTCCGTTTGTATGACCTTACGAAATTTAATTGTATCGCCACCGGGAAACAAAGTCATATCGATTGCACATCCAAAATCTATTAAACGCAGCGAGGGAAAGTGTAACTCCGTGCTAGGCACACGCATCAGTAGGAAATTATCTGGCTTAATGTCGGCATGGATGATTTTGTTTTGATGCAGATGATGAATAATGTTGCAGATTTGTGCTGAAAAATGCATAACAAGAGACTCATGCATTACTTTGGTGGTCGCTTGACGTATCTTATTATTAATGTCTAACAAAGAACCGTACGGTGAGAACTCTGTAGCTATAAGGCTGGCATTAGACGCTATGATAGCCGTCGATATGTCCATTAGGCCGGGCAAAACACTTGCGGACTTTATGCGCTTTAAAACCTTGAAAGAGAATACCAATCAGTAAGAATCAGTAATATTTTCTTAATAATAAAGGATGTTAATGCACTGTTAATGTATTCGTCTCAATTTTTTAAAATTCTAAACTAATTGATAACGAGTGCGTAAACGCGCGATTCAACCGCGTGCACTAACCTGATCACAAATATATATCTCCCATGTATTGGCGGGTTTTTGAAATTTCAAAGCCACTACCGAACCGGATGCAACGTCGGTTGCTTTATACACTGACCCATAAGATCCTCGGCCAATTTCTTTGTCTATGTGGAATTGTATACCATACGGCAAATTTAGTTGACGAGTATTCGCTATCTTAGGCAGAGGCGTATGTATAATCTTGTAATTGTCGTGAGCTTCTCCATCTGTACCGGGAAAGTCTAGTTTGGTTAAAAAAGCGCGACACAATTCACTATTAAATGGATCTATAGCTTCTTTGGCCATATGGCGTTCAATCGTCTCCAGAGCCCTCGCCAAGCGGGATTCTTTCGCCTCGGCATCATTTTGAGTGGCAAAATAGGAATTTTCTTGGTATGTGCTGATATCAGCAGCAACGCTGGATTGATGATTAAGACTTGTGTTAGTTATGCTCGAAACATCGCGGAAGTTCAGCCGTCCTACTGCATTACTCAGCGAGCAGTTGGAATTATCGAGAGCTACAGCACTCGAAAAGGAATAATTAGCATTATCATTAAATGTGGCATTATGTATGGAACGGTCGTAATTAATTTTTCGTTCATCAATTGTGGTGGAGTTGTCTACGTTGTTTGTCATTGTTGCAATTGTTGCACCATTTTCAGCTGAAGACGAATTACTGTTGCTGCTAACGATAATTGGGTATTTATTGGAAGCTCTTTTAATTTTCGCCTTTTGACGTTTGGCGCTAGTCTTTGGTGTAGAAGTGTGGCCTAGCAAATACGGATGGAAACTATGATGGCCGTTTCGTTTTAAGCTAGCATCCAAAGCAGGTACACTGGGGGACTCAACCTTTAGATGAAGAAATGAAATGACATATAACTTTTTCGGAAACTTTAGTAAAGAGAAATCTTATGTAAGACCTACCTCTGGTTGATAAATTCTTTCAATGGTATAAGCATTGGAGATGTCACCTGAACCTGCGGTGGGTCTCTCTTTTTTAAATTTAATTTTTATGGTTTTATTTTGAGATCCTTCCGTTTTAAAACTTATAGTGGAGGCTTCAATTTGATCTTCTAAATCGTCGGCGGTATTAATAACATCCGCACGATAACTTTGCTGATGGTAATTTTTATCAGACTCCTCTTCGGTCTCATTATTTTCGTCTTCTTCTGCGTCGTCTTCGGCGTCGTCCTCTTCCCCTTGCCCTTCTCGTTCGACTTCTTCTTCGTTATCATCATCATTTTCCTTTTGAACAATCTGTTGTAACCGTTTATGTTGCTCGTAGTTACTCGAATTGTGTGAATATTGCGATTGTGGCGGTGCCTGCTCTAACTGTAATTGTGTTTCATGCGAATTATGTTCTAGCAAGTGGTTGTTATTATTATTAATGTGATTTAATTCAACATAAGCTTGTGGGCTGTGAATGTATTTATGAGGTTCTACTTTGGCAGATTTAATGCATTCATTGCTTTGCTTCTCCACTTCTTGTTGGTGTTTGTTTTGTATATAACGTCTTGCTTTGATTTCTTCTGGACTGTATTCTACTCCCTCTCCTGCGGGATATACTAAACTTTTAGCGTAATGACAAAACCTTTGGGGATCGTAGGGTTCTTCTAAAAATAGTGCTGGCTGCCAAGTTTCGTCACTATTGCTGCAATAATTGGCAAATTTACGAGGCAGACGAACACACGACAAAGGATATTCATCCGCAATTTGCAATGGTTGCCGTTGCACCGAAGCTTCCAAAGCTCTTTCATACTGCTGCCGGGACATGGATGCAGTTGCAGCCGGCAATTGTTGTTCAACCGGCACACTATTATGTTGTTGCGCAACATGGGAATGCTTTTGCAGAGTTGTTTGGGTTTGAAGATGATTTGGATTTGATATATTTTGTGCGGTAGCCTCTGACGTGGCAGTACAGGCCAGAGTTTCTTGCATCTAAAAAATTTTAATATATACTTATTTAGCGTGAAATTTATTTGGAATCTAACTTAACTTACTGTTATTTGGGGAGTTTGCATTGATTGTTGTTGTATTTGAGCATGAGCAATTACTTGCTGCTGAAGCTGCTGTTGATGTATTTGATGTGGCTGCTGTAAGTGTGGTGAATAATGTGTCGAGGGTTGTGTTTGGTGATACAACTGTTGATTTTGCTGAATTATATGATTACCATGAATTTGCGTATGTTGTTGATTTTGCGGCGATGTGGCTGCTACTGCTCCTATTGGCTGTGCCTGTTGTTGATATGAGACTTGTTGACGGTATGGATTATGATTATGAGCTGTTTGCGGATGCATGGAGGCATGGCTACTAGCTGCTGCTTGTATATGCTGCACATGCTGCTGCTGCTGCTGTTGTTGTTGCTGTTGCTGTTGCTGTTGCTGGAGGTGGTAATGAACGACATGATGTTGCTGGGCATTTAAACTTTTCGTGTATATAAATTTACTATGAGCATGATGAAGCTCAGCATAAGGTTGGGCTTTTTCTTGGAAGGCTAGATTGTAAACTGCCTCCGCTTCTTTTAAAGCATTTATCGATTCATAGTAGCTAGCCCAACTAATATAAAAGGACGCCAATTGTCTACCTACACCGCGTTGATGCAATACTTGGTAGAAATGCAACGGATTACTTTGCATGTCAATATACTTTAACCACAAACGCACCATACGCACATCTTGTTTATAATAATCACTGTGTTCGTACAGAGTCAAACACCTTTCCAAGGTTTCGCGAAATTTGTTATCCGGATCGCCGTGACCGTGATTTTCATACCAGCATATATAATTCCACCAGTGGTCAAGCGGATCTGGCCCTTGGTACAGAGCGATAGCATTTTCCCACGCTTGCTTGTCTTTTAGAAAACTGTGTTGCATTTGTTCAGCTGACACCGTCGCTTGCTGCCGCATATAAGAGTTCATGGCAAGCGTTTTGGAAAATATTTTAAACCCAAACAGCACCTATGGAACGAACGTTGCTGTTGTTGATTAATTTAGAACATATGATTATGGACAAAAAGACAGTCGCTATGTCTTTACGGTCGTTTAATTTCAATGCACCCACAAAACTATAGAACTTGATAACCATTTTTTTTTACCATGGCTGCCAACGTTTCGTACTATTTGCTAGCTATGTTTGGGTATTTTCTGCAATTCGTAATCATCTATCAAAATTTCCCCCGAGTATGCTTTCAGAAAAAGATAAAATTAACAATTCTATAAAATTAAGAATTCATTTCTAAGATATCAAATTAATAATTTATTTATAAGAATTCAAGGCATTTGTAGGTGCTAAAATTAGCAATTTAACATTTAAGAATATAAAATAAAAATTTTTTTATTTATTTACCTTACTTTTTAGTAGTCGGAGATAGTAAGCCCCAAGATTTCTTTTAATGCACCAATATCGTCGCACGAATAGAAAAGTTAAGGTATTTGGGAGCGATGCTACAGCAGTATCAACATCGACAACTGAACTAGTGCCATTTCTATTAACATAATTATATCTATACACATTTTACAATTCTTTCTGTCGTCATTTCTCAGTCTATCTTCTTAATTCATCCATTTTCATAGGATTCATAGAACTCATGGAAGCGAAGAATTTATTCATGGAAAACATACCATTCTCTTGTCTTTGAATTTGAAACACGAAATATTTGGAAGAATCCTCAATGTTTTGTAGTAGTGGTTTGGTTCAGTGTTGTTTTTGTTTACATTTCTTTTACTATTTTAAACAAACGCTTAGGGATACCACATTAAACCTTTTTTATTCAACGCAGAGAATCGTCTGGAGGGTAATCGCGTCTGGCAAAAACGACTAAAGAGAATGCTAACTTTCAGCTACGTGAATACCGTCCTGCTGTTGATTTACTGAATTGCAGAAGAAGAAGAAGTACCAAAAAATATACAGGAAAACAAAGAACTCGACAAAGAACGTTTTTTAAGCGCCACAACGAATTATTTGCCGTTCCTTTGAGATTACTAATTACATATCATCTAGTTAACTTGATGTCAAAAAAATAATGGGAAATTTACCGTTTGCTTTTTTAAAATGCATTGCAAATCAACCATAGTTTTGTATTATGAAAGTAAAAGTCAACTCTTTAATTTTCACAAAGCATCTCAAGGCGAATTTATTCTTTATATCTTTTATTTCAATATGCAAAGGAAATACTGGTTTTTATCTCCCCACTTCTTCGCCTTATTTGCCAGACATCTAACGAACCGTTGACGATGTGGACAAAATAAGTTTGTCTTGATTTAGGAAATCAAAAGTTTGCTACTACAATCTTCATGCGGTCGTAAATCTTACGAGTAAAAATATTTATGAACGAATACACAAATCCTATAGGTACATGGTTTAACTGACCACGATTCCATTTAGCCTGTGCTTGCCTTTTCAGTTTCTAAAACGTAATTCTTTTTACGGGGTCTTACGGAAACAAATGCACGTTTCGTCTTCAATAAAGTATAGTAATTAAAAGGTATATATGATTGTCTAACACAAATTCGAATCGTGGTGTTTGTAGATCTCCCTATCAGCTTGAATTTCGCTAAAAATTAAGGGAATTCCGAATTAAAAATTCGTGTTCGTATACTCAGGTTCGAATTAGAATATTTTCATATAATTTTTTTTCGCTAGTTAGTCTGAAATACCTATGTTTTTAAACTATTTAAAAAGCGAGAATGTCTCAAATTGTAATTGTTGTAATGAATAGACACAAGTTTCATATTATCTAATATTATACTTTGCATCGCAATTAGAAAATTAAAATTAATAAGCCTTATTAAAGACAGAATAAAAGTTTGAATTACATCACATATACATTCTTATGAAAATATCATTTTTAATAATTTTAGTTTTCATGAAAATTAATCGATTTTCTAAGAAACTAATTTCTAAAGAAGGAGAAAACCAAATGCACATTCATGGCGCTATATAAGCTGAATATTTGCGAATGCAATAAAGGTTATAAATCAGTCGAGTTAGTCTTAAGAGAGTTGAAAGCGTGGCGACAGAGTCGACTCAAGTGATTTGAACTGTAATATTCGAACGGACAAATCCAGCACGAGAATTAAAGCATTGTAAACCCAAGTTCCCGTAAATAATATGTGAATAGATTTCATAATTTTGTAAATAAAACCTACTAAAGATGACAATTCAACGTTACGAATTTAATGTCAAAAGCAGTTCAAAAAATAAAGACAAATTATAAAAGACAGATTTACATTACACTGGTATCAGAAGTGGGATTGTGATTTATGGCGAAGAGGATAGTGAGATTAGAAGATCTAACAGCGAAACAATTTAAACAGGAGTTGAGAGAAGGGAATATACCCAGAGTTGATCCTAAGGCTAAAGTGAATAACTGGAAAAGAAAGGAGAGGACATTGCCGTATGCGAATTCCAACGGAATGCTGACGACGCTGGCGATGAAAAGTAGATTTATTGCAACAATTCCAAGCGCAAAAAGTCTTGGGCGATACCAAAGCGGAATACTCATGGCCACAACGCTTAGTGGGATCGGCAAGGTGCAGTGAATTTTAACCTGCTAAAACCGATTGAAAACGTTACTACAGATGTCTAAGGACGTCAACTAAAGAAGACCAACAAAGCGGTTAACAGACGTAAGCTCATTCTCTTTCATGACAGCGCTCAACCATTGGGATGCATTGTTACAGTTCCAATTAAAATTTCTGCCGCAACCAGCGTACTTTTTATACAAATCGTCTTCTCATTGGCATTTGTTCAGATCGATGTAGCATGGCTTGGCTGGCATACGGCTCCGTAAAATTGAAGAAGTGCGAAAATGGGTTAATGATTGAATCGCTGCCAAACCAATATAAGTTCTTTCGATACGACGTCGTTATGTTGTCAGAAATGTGGTAAAATATTGTAGAAAATAATGGAAAATATTTTGATTAAAATATACCTACCAATTTCTCGCAATAAATGCCTAAGTGAGGTTATGGATGTATGCATAACAAAATAATGTAAAGAGAAAGAAAAGAAGTAAATAAATAAAAGATTAATAAATAAAATTCAATATTGGCAAATTGGCTTTAAATATCGCGGGTGCCCAGAATATTTTTTAAATAAATTCTAATAATCCTGCATTTCTACTTTTTGTCGTTTCTAAAAATTTTTTCATCAATCCATACTCATTTGTCCCTTTTCATGTTTTATGTTAGCAACAGGTAAAAGCACCGGATATAATTATTTGATCTTATAATTTTTTCCAACATTTTGGCATTTCCTAACTCCATTAATTTTATCAAACATGTGATTTTGCACCGTTATACTACCTTGTACCTTGTCATACCCTTAAACATAAAGCTCGATAGCTCTTTTACTTTTCAGCTAAAAATTGATATTTTACACTCAACGTCGAGCAAACGCTTTTACCATAAAGGGGACCATCGACCCAAACTGCAAACTCTACATCAAGGTTGTTCGAACATGAGCACTCTGTAAAGCGGCCCCAGATTTGATGGCTTGAAAATGATCTTGGATCCAAAACTAAGATGCAGTTTTCATATTGAATTACGCGTCAATAAAGACAAATCGCGACTGGGCTTTGTAAAGAGGTTGTCAAAAGAATTTTCGTATGCCTTATGTTACTAGACGGTTATATAATGCTCTTGTTCAACCGATTTGTCGGCCGAATTCTCATTTGGAATTTTCTGCTTAAGAAATAGTTAACTGAATTTCCCACCATGGAAAAAGGCGCGACATGCTGGGAATTATCTTCATTGTAAAATTGATTGAAGTTCTAATAAATTTGCCGTTTTTACTGCAAGGAATCTCATTTAATGTGCCTGGTAGACTCACGAGAAACTATGAAGTGAAAACTAATATTTGTTTGTTTCACCTGTCGCTGAATTCTTACCATCTGTATTAAAATATGAAGATTATGAAAACTGCTTCCTACTTCGCGCGAATTCATGAATTTGATTATCGTTTATCACGGCTTTCTCCTTGCAGGAAAAACACCTATTATTCTCCTTCTTAATCATTGCTTTCGAATTTTACTGTACAATACCGAAATCTGTTGCGGCTATTCAGTTTCTTGATTGTAGAGAAATTTTTCAGGATTTGTAGCAGTGTCTATTGTTATACTGCACTGATCATATTCTTATTTAGTGTGTAGTTCTAAGATATTTTCTATCGGCTAATATATTATATGTTACTGATTAAATATGTTAAGGAAGTAATAGATTTCGCGAACTTCCTTCGGTAGGGCACAATCGCTGTTTCGAATACAGGTAGCATAAGTAAATTAACGGCAATACGGGGGCATATAAGGGAAATTTTCCATATATTGCGATGGGCTTTAGAAACGATGTGTGCTGGCATTTTTGAAACATGCGTCGGGAAAAATTGACAAAACGTGCCAGAATGCAATTGTACATATGTGTTTGTGTGTTTTGGCACAAACCAATTGGAAAGAAATGTCATTAAAGAAAGTAGAAATTTCAAAGCGTGGCAGCCCTTAATACACCAAAGAAAAAATAGGAAAATTTATTTTTCTTTTTCTCTAATTTTTTTGTTAATTTTAATAATTTTATTGAAAAAAAAAAAAAAAACAAAACTGGAGGTTTCAATTGTGCGTTACTTTAAATGTTGCTAATATCAAAAAGTAAAGACGAATGCGAAAGTAAAGTAAAAGAATGTATATAACCAATTAAAAGAAGGCTGAATCGAAAGAGTAAAGAGAAAACTAAATTTAACATTGTTTTTAAATTTCGTCACTATTTGTATAAATAAAAGTGAAAAAGCATTTATTTCAATAAATTATGGAGTTTTCTACCGATCCCTATGAATTGAAATTATACCAAATGTTTCAAAGTTGCGATACCAAACATTGCGGCTACTTAGATGAGGAATCGTTGCGTCGTTTATGTGGTCTATTAGAATTACACGATAAAGGAGCAGTGCTTATCGAAAATTTGGCATCTGAAGATAAGGCATCGCATGTGACTTTTGATAATTTCAAGGAAGCTTTACTTAATTTTTTGGGCACCGAACTAGATAGCAATCATGAAAATGAAGATTCCTTGCATAGCGACAAACAGATGGCATGCAGTTATCTTGACAATATTAATCAAAAAGAGAAAAAGAATAACGGTAAGACATAAATAAAATGATCATAGTGTTAGCAAGTACAATAAAAGATCGCTTTTAAATGACTTCAGAATGTATACATTTTTTTTTTTTGTTAGGCTGGAATTAGAATTCCAAATGCATTTATGAACTTACTTTCAGAACGATGTATACACATCTGCTTACGAACAGGGTCCTTAATTTTTCAAAAAAAATTTTTCTATTTCTTACAACAACCTCCGTACGAGGATTCCTTATCCTCTTATGTAATAAAAACTTAGCATTTTGAAATACCTGCGTTTATAGCTTCATAATTATGTTTTTTGTAAAGTTCCCTGTTATAGAACATTTGCTTTATACATTGTTGTGAAGTACGTACCTGAGATTGGAAAATCCCAGCTAATTCCTTTATCTGCAATTTTCTTTGCCTTTACTTACCTTAAAGGTGCTATCCTGAAGGTATTTGTTATTTTCGATTCAGTTGTAAATTTACACTCTTACGGATCACTTCAGGTATTAAGGCAAAGTAGAGAATATTAAAATTATATTTTTTTCAACACAATGGGTACGAAGACTTTTTATAATAAGGCAAAACGTTGCAAGTTGTTTTCTATAGATAGGCTTGCCAAACGGTTTGGTAAGTGTGTATTTAATTTTATATGATACTATAATGTTTGATTCTTTCACCTAAATATTCATACTTTTGCAGAACATTCCCTTGTTATAGCCGATGTTACGGAACCTTTTGTGAATAGCGAAGCGGAGATATCAGATCGTGAAGTTTCACCTAAATTAGTTGTAGGCTCGAAAAAATATGGTCGCCGTTCGAGGCCTCCAATACATCGTAATATTGAAAACATAACTGCTTCCGATACAGACGATGATTCTAATGATGATAAAAGTATCACTGCGCATCGTACTTGTTACAGTAATATTCAAGTGCAGCGATCTTCCTCACAGACTGATATACCAGGAATACGCAAGCATTTAACTGCCATTAGTTCGGAGAGTAAACTGAAACGATGTGCCTCTCTTCCCGCTCAGAAAAATCTCCAAAATAGAGCCAAAGTAACCGGTACCGCATCGAAAATGAACAAAAATACCCAAACTTCTGCGATGGAGAAACAACAGCATCTTACTAGCAGTGCCGAATCTTTAGGTAAGTAATTTTTGCTAACTCATTACTTAATATATGATTATTGAAATTTATATAAGATTTTCAAACAAAAGTAACTTACATTGAATATCATTCAGTGAAACAAGTTGTAATTTTATCGACATATGTCATTCTTCATTTTATTTGCCATACATATAGAATCTAGCTACTTCATCAGCTGCTTAGTTAACTCTTTGCATAGATTAGAGTATGATGTTTTCACACATATATAAAATCACTAACACATTGACGTTAATATATCGTACATAATTTGGCCCCCTTTTCTTCTCAGAGAGAGTTTCGTTTGCCGCGATGTGTTGTGATTACTTTCAGAGCATTGTCGCATAATTATGCGTTGTTATCTACTTATTGTTTTCAACCAACGCACCGTTTATGCATTCATGTCAAACAAACTGTTTGGTTTTAGTTACATTTATGACTTCTTTCTCTAAACATTTCACTTCAACATTTAATAGGTTTGCAAACTCTTTCATCTGCCATGCACGCTGTTTGGAATACATTTGAATGGGAGTTGAACTTCAACCACCTAAAATATGGAAATTTGGCTAAAGGTTTGTGTGCCAACAAAACTCAACTAAAAAAATATTGTTTGTTTTTTTTTTGAATATTAATTGATTCGATTAAATGGACAAAAGGCTGGTGGTATATATTTGCACGCTCTTTAGAGTGGCTAGCGGTAGATTAATGTGTCAAATGACTCAAATGAAAAATAGCACCAATTGCGCATACCTGCTAACCTCATAACCAGCACTTAGAAACAAAAATCCTTTTTACTACACCATTATTTAAAATGTCGTTGTTTACTATTTGTATTCTCATTTCAATTTTTTTTTTTTTTTTTGAGGAGAAGAACTTTTCATTATCATAAACATATTTCTATTTCATGTAGAGACTCCTGCTCTTATGGAGACTTTACCCGTTCAGAGCGTTTTGAATTTATGGGAACGTGCCCAAATACCCAACGGTCGAAGTATGCTTTTAGCTTTGGGTTTCGATGACAACGAGATAAATTTAGCTCAACTTGGAAAAGTTATGGAAGATGAAATGCGAATTTTGGATGAAGAACCTCAAATTACTTTAATGAAAGCTTCTTTGGTGCTGCAAACAGTTGAACTCAATTCGCTTAGGCAAACGGCTCGTCAACTTTATGATGAAAATACAAAATTGCGTACAGACAACAAAGATGCAAACAAACGTATAGCTATCTTTACGGCGGAAATTGATGAAAGACACGCTTCCTTGGAAGAGGCAACCAAAAAAGAGGTAAACTTTATAAAAGTCATTTCAACAAGCACGTTACATTGAATGCTTTCATGCCAGCTTGGAATCAACCAATCGGTATTTCGAATAATGGCTTATCTTCGAATAGAAAAACCTAATTACTCTCAAAAATTTAAATATCGCAAGCATTTATTTTCAGTTACATGTAATTAACTCTTGTTGTTCATTAAAATGAAAATCGATTTCAAAAAAAATTATTTAATATCTATTTACTATTTTTTTTTTTTTTTTTTATTAAAGATACGTTTACTGGAACAAAAAAATGGGGCCGTAGTCAGAGATTTAACATCACGTATGGCAGCGGATCGTGAGAATTGGTCCAATTTGAATAGTCGTCTAGAGGCGCGTATCAAGTTATTTGAGCAGAACGAAATTAAGTTAAAAACCGAACTGGAATTAGTCCATAAAGAGAATGAAGATTTTGAGGGGGAGCATCAGATAATGCAAAAGCAGTTAGCCGAATTGTTGGAAAAGAATATTAATTTAAATCGCGAACTTAGCGATTTAGAAGAAAAAACACACAAAGGTAACCGACAGCCAAATTCCGAGAAAATCGCAAATGATGAAGAACTTTTGCGACTCGTTGAAAAAGTAACGAATCTTCAGATAGAAAATACTAATTTACGGGATAAAAATGATGAACTCTTAGTCGAAGTGGAAGCATTAAATTTGGAACTGAATAAACTAAAATCAAAATGTAAAAAATCATCAGCCGTTGAAGAAATAAGTAGTGAAGAAAATGAGATGAGTTCGTTGAATACGGCGACAAAGAGACGTGGCGATTCTCCAACGAAAACTAGACTTATTGAAGAGAGTCCCCGTTTACGCAAGTTACGCAAGTGCACGAACGATATTAATTTAAGTAATACCTGCAGCGAGAACAGCGACACAAGTGGCGAATGGATGGCTTTGAATTCAGAACTTCATCATTCTCAAAGCAAATTTACCACGGAACAAGAGGAGGTGGAAAGTCTCAAGAAAATAATCGCAGAGTTAGAGGAATTATTAAAGCAAGCACAAGAATTGTCCAGTCAACAATCGAACTCGTCGTTAACGCTGCCACCTGAAGAGCGTTGCCGTGAATTAGAAACCAGTTTAGAGCAAATGCAACGAGCTTATGAAGACTGCGAAGACTATTGGCAGGCCAAGTTGGGCGATGAGAGAGCTCTTTTCGAAAAGGAACGTCAAATATACGAAGAAGAACAGCAAGAAAGCGATAAAAAGTTTACAGAGTTAATGGAGAAAGTACGCGAATATGAAGAACAATTTAGTAAAGATGGTCGCCTATCGCCCATCGAAGAGAAATGTCAACTGGAGCAACAATATGCCGATTTGGAAATTGAAATGGAATCGTTAAAAGAAAATAATTGCAAAATGCTGGAAGAAAAATCGAAGGAAATTGAGACTTTACAACATGAAATAGAAGATTTACGTCTTCGGCTGGGCGAAAGTGAAGAAATACTTACAGGAGCGTCGGAGTTAAATGCTGAAGCTATAAATAACAAAAGTAATTTTACGAAGACTACTAGTCCAGCCAGTTCGCCAATAAGTTATTTATGGCATCAGAGTACCATACAAGAACCTTCGAAAACCTTCCATACTTTAGAAAAAACAATGCCAGCTATCATATCAATGTCAGTAATAAATAATGATCAGCTTATACGGTGAGTAATCAATAAAATTCAGCAGAATTAGTAATAGGTTATAAGTAAAAGAAGAAATCTGTCTATATTCGCCGTTTAAGGCGAATCGCTGGGATTCAATATTTTGAAGAAATTTGAGAAAATAGTAAAAGCGTTTATTCATAGCATGTCGAGTAACACGAATAAATAACTCATTTCGAAGTACTAGCCTACAAATTAAAGTCAATTGTCAATATTGCTTTCCTCCTCGTCTGTGCTGTCAAACTTTGTTTCCTAAAATTTTGCTTACATATGGCAAATTTGCACTTTGTGATCATATTTACGGACAGACAGACTGAGCCAAATTGATTATAAATGTCACATTGATCACGAATGTTCGAATGGGAAAATTGTTTTACGAGTCATTCACTAGCCGAGACTATAAGAAATGTTGCTGCATTTTTAATCTGAGTTAAGCAATACATAATTGCTTATACGCTTTGCATGTTCTAGTTCGCCATAATCACTTCAACATTTCAACGGCTTTTAAGTTATTTAATGGGCTTAAATTGTACATACATAAGTAAATGAATACAATGCGACAAGAAAATCGGTTTTTTTTTAAATTTTTTTTCTTTTTTTAACAACTATTACTGCTAATACTGTAAATTCTAAAATTCTAACTTATATTTAGTAAATGATTGTACTGCGTGTAGACGATTTTTTGTAAATAAAATATACCTCTTCACTTTACTAATGTTTGCTAAAGCGGAGAATTCACTATCGAAATAGCGCGATTGTTTTGCCTTTTTGCATTTGGCTTAAGGCCTCGTTCGTAGTACGCATATCGTACGTAGGGACGGATTTATATGTTTTCATAAAATAAATAAGACTATTTAAATGTTATTAAAATATTTTTTTCATTTGCCGTTTGTGTCTGCTTGGTAGAAACATTGTAAAATACGAGTGCGGTTTCGAATTCTTCAATAGTTCGTGCTCTCCGAAGAAATCATAAAAAAAATCGAGCGCCTCTTTTGGACAGATCGTACTTCGCATATAAACGAGTTTAAGTCAAATTTAATCGATAATTTGACTTAAATTTGCCTTCATTTTGAGTGAATTCTGTCTTCAATTCCGAAAGAATTTCTTTAACTCATTCGCAAGCCATTTCTGTGTAGATCATACGCGACATTTTCTAGTTCGGCGGTAGTTTCCCAAATTTTGGTGCTTTCCCATAGCTATTTTTTAATAACATATCAAATTTCAAATAGTTTGGCTCGCGTGAAAGGGCATTTCCATAAACATCTACGAGATGTCGTTGGAATTTTTTGTTTGGGCGCAGCAAAGCCACGATTTTGACGATTATTCCATAGTCGATATATCAAATTTTTTGATAAACATAGTTCTGGAACCTATAGTCGAACCTGTTTTGTTCGTTTAGCTCATTTCAAACGGTTTTTGTAAAGATTCATTAAGTGTCCAATAAAATATTTTAAATTTCCTGGTTTGGACGGAAGAGGCTTCCAAGTTCAATCATATCTTAATTCGAACTAATTAATAGCATGGGCGTTTACAGAGTTCTATTAAGGGAGAAGGTACGTGTCTTTGATAAGCAGCTTCGTATTTGTATTCACACTCTTCAGGAGTGAAAAAATAATTTAAGCGTGCTTTGGACGTTGTGTCTTATGTTTTCATAAAAAATAAAATGTAAAATTTTTCAGAAACACTGTCCTCACTACATCTGAAACAACGATTTTTAGTACACCACCTACTGTTAGTAACGCCTCACAATCGCCCACTGAAAAACTGAATAATGATTCAAAAACTCAATCAGTACAATCGGAAGCTGGTGATGTGGCCGATTGTGAAACATCTTCCTCATCAGCGTCGGTTAAAAGTTTCGAAACACACAGTGTACATTTGACAAATAATGAACAACAACAACATAGTATTACACATGAACAAATCAATATTAGAAATAATAGCAGCACAAAGCATAATAATAGTTCATCTAGTCCCAGCCCAAACAGCATAAAAGAGGAATTGAAACGTTTAAAATACTTTGAATTATCATTGCGCGAGCAAATCAAGGATTTATCCCTACAACGCGATGGTTTGGTTATGGAATTGCAACAACTGCAAGAAGCTAAGCCAGTGTTAGAGAAAGCCTATGCGGTAGGTATTTTCACTTTAATAGTAAAATGCAAAAAAATTTAAATTTGACAACAATTTATTTCTCTTGCAGCGAACCGCTCATCCGTCACTGATACAAAGAGTCAATCAGTTAGAGCTGAAAAATCGTCATTTGCAAAACGTTATCAAACAACAGCAACAGTACACTGAATCGCTAATGCAACGTAAGATTTTTACTGTACTCTTTACTTATTATTCTTTCACTACTTACTTACATTTTTCGATCACGATTTCGTCATTCCGCTGGCGATAATAAAAAATATACTTCATAGAAGATAGTTTCGAAAAGATATCGAAAATAATGAAGTTAATAATCAGTTCGATGTCTATATCAGGTAGTTTTTCTAGCTAATTTTTAAGAAGATAAAGTAGATATTAAGGGATGCGAGGCAATTTTTGCTAAAAATAGTCTAGTCTCGGAAATATGCATTCGTAGCGGCCAGGCAAGCTTAGTAAACCCGACTTCGTTGACTTTTCGTGTTAATACATGCAACGTTGTTGCCCATATAAGTGCTCGTTTTTCGTAGGAATCCCCAAAAACCTGGTATCGACTGTTTTGCGGGCCAAAGTCCATCATAAAATTTAAATAATGTAACCTTGCGGTTATAAAAAGCCCCATTTTCTGTCGGTACATAATATGTTTAGAACGTGTACTATTTGATAATGAAGTTGCAACAGTGGCCAGAGAAGTTGACCATTTCAGAAATGTTGAGAAAGTTATTCTCTTCTTTTCAAATTTTATTTGATTGAAATTCGATCTCGCAATTAGTCACTTAACGCTTTCGAATGCAAGGTAAACGCCAGCGATATCAAATGAAGTCATTCGACGAAATAACTGAACTCACTTTCACTCTATGTAAATGCCTTTATTAGCTGAAAACTTATGTAGACTCAACTGGGAAAGATATTAATTAGAAAGCAGTGATTGATTTATGGACTTTCTTTTATCATAACAGAATCATGGCGTCAACATCAAATTGAACTGAACGATTTACATGGCCGTTTAGAGGCGCAAGGAGCTTTAATAGCTGAACAAGTGCAGCGTTTACAAAACGCTGATTTACTCGTTAAAGATTTGTATGTGGAAAATTCACATTTAACTGCTACTGTACAGAGACTCGAGCAACAACGATATCGTGTCAATTTTATGCAGCAACAACAATCCGCACAACGGCCCAGTTGCTCAGGTTTACCAGGAATGCCTTAAGTATATTAAAAAAAAAAAAAAAAAAAAAAAAAAAAAACACAATAACAAACACAACAATACGTCAACAATCGTCTTATCTATTCATAATTATGGGAATACGGAAACTACTTCACATCGACACTATGTAAAATTATTTGTTAAACATAATATCAAACCCTAGTACGTTTAAGCACAATAATCGAAGGTAAGAATTTTATTCTATTTATTTTTTTTTTCATTAGCACAAAAGTAAGAGATATTTTAAAAGATTTCATCAAGAGATTAATAAAAAAAAGTGCAGTTGGGTATATACACCATAGTATACATATAAATATATATACATACACTATATGTGTATATTTATATACATATATATTAAAGTATATTTATTATATATATAAACGGTAAACATTTCGTCAGCTTTTTCTTTTGTATATTCTTAATGCAAATTAAAAGGTATCTATTTTTTTTTTTTTTTATTTCTATTTTATTTAGCAAGCTTCTTATTCAATGTTTTTATAATCTTTGTTATTTTAAATGTATTAAACAAACGAAGACAAGTTTGTGGATTAAAAGTAAAAAAAAAAGACATTCAACTCTCTAAGAGTGATGTGAAGAAAACTTTCACATAACTTCTTTTAGTGCTTCATTAGCACATAAAATGAAAAAAATAAATAAATTAAAAAACACATTAAGACTTCCGTAAAACGAAATTCCTAAACAAGAAAAACGTAATAAAAAATTTTTAATGCTTAACAATAACCAAATAAAGAAAGTTACCTGTTCTAAACAATGAAATATGAAAAACATTTACCGAAAGCAGTTTATTTGTTTTTAACAGCAGTTTATCTATCTATTTGTTCATAACGACATTTTTTTTTTTCTTTACATATATTTAGCATGAAAATCCTTGGAAGAGCGGATAAACTTTTTCCGTTAACATGTTTTCTATGAAAAAAACGAAAATAAGTTCGAAAGGAGCTAAATTTAAAAAAAAAAAAAAAAAAACGCACAACGATTGTTGAGAAAGAAATAATTTCATTTAGAGACGAAAAACAAAAAATTACATATTCATTTCAAACAAGAATTTAACTTAAGGACACGTTGTAAGTTGCATAAATAAGAAATTATTACCATTTGTCTGTGAAAATGTGGTTTACATTTTTTGTTTTCTTGATTTCTCCCTATCATCGCATGATGTTCCCATTAATTAGAACGATTGAAGACGCGGCCATCCTTACGATATAGATTCGACATCATAAAATATTATCCTTTGCATTAGCATGTCATGCATAAATTATGATAGATATGAATGTTATTGCTGCAATTTCTGGACTTTCCTTACTATCGGTCAAGTTCTGGAAACAACCTAAGTATTATGTTAAACCGACCTCTAACAACCTGGTAGTCCTTCAAATATAAGCGCATTTTAAAATACGTTGTCATCACTAATTATGAAGTGATGTTTGCCTATATTTGGAATTTCTTCATTCCAATTTAAAGGAGTGGTAGACTACAGTTTTTCGTAGGAAAATTTTCTTAGGACTTTCCTCTTATACATGGTACATGGTAAGTGCTTTACTAAACATGTCCGCCCGGCTGTATGTCTTGTCTTCTTGTCCTCACGAAGACTTGAGATAGATCCACCTTTTATTATACCGACGGATTCAGAACCAAATTCTGAAGCATGCCTGCCCGTCTTGTTTTCTTATGTTCACATCTACAGGCTACAATTTTTGAGGCATTTTATTGAAATGTGGTACATCTACGTGTCTAGACCACGTATCAGACTACTTTTTGAATACGGCTCATTTCGAAAAGCATATGAATACCTGTTAGGATGAAATGAAAGAAAGAAATATAAACTAGGGTTAAAGCATCTTACTTTTCTTATTCAACTTTTTTCTTTTATTTTATAGAAATGTTTATCACATTTTCGAAGCAATGTAATATTTTCTACTCCTTACTTCTATTGATCGTATATTTTTTAATTACTTTTTCTTTATTTTAAATCTATTTTATAATCTAGAAGTTATTTTAACTACCAAAGGGCAAAAGTTAGTTTTATCAATACATTGATGACGATATCCACTAAAAAGCCAATATGCTAATGTAAATTAAAAATAACAGAAGCGGATTACCTTCTCGCGGCATTAATCAGTATTAGTAACGAGTTATTATACGCAGATCGCAATCTGAAATCGATTCTAATTCAAATAATTAAATTGAATCATGAGACTTGCGAATTTGATCCATTTTCGGTCGTTAGAAGAGTGTCTTTAAGATATTGCGAAAGGTCCTACTTTTGAAGCATTGTTTAATTAATAAAAATTATAGGAAATATTCACAATATCGTGCGCTTCAAATATGTGTAATTTAGAACGCAGCGCTCTGTATTATTAGATCTTGGGTAGTAAACATCCGGGATTCGTCGGATTGAACTTTTCTTACTTAAAGTGTTTGCCATTATTTTTTTTCTAGCGGTAATAACTTTATATATAACTTTATATACATCCAGCCTTTTTTTTACACTTTGTCTTTTTCGACCCGATCGTGACGGTTCACCAACACGAACCTAGCGTGAATCCCAAAAAAAACTACTTTTTTATTTCTAATTTTGACTTTGTTATGGGCTTGGTCTACTACGGCGAGTACCCAAATTTTATGATCACTTTTGTTTTTTTCTTACTGTAGCTCAACAGCATTTCGTTATTCAGTATTTATTTTACGCTAGAATGTTCAGTTCATAGGACGCAATAAATAATTCAATAAAGTTCGAAGAGTTGCTGCTCATTTGTTGATGATACCTCCCGTAATAAAAATGCAAGCTTGTTATCAAGTACTCATGAACAGTTTCGAAATTGAATTTTATTCCTAATTTTAATTATAATTTTTATATATTGTGCTTATAGATTGAATTTTCATTGCACACTAATTTTAATTTTTTTTCGTAATAAAAGTGAATTGTTTTTGTTTTATAAATATGTAATATGGGTTTCAATATTTATCCTTTTCGCACGTTTTTTTGGAAAAAATATTTAAGGTTTTTTCATCTTACACGATTTTTTAAAATTGTGGAACATATCACCAAATTTACCATATGTCGCTTGCATTTTTTTTACACGATTTTTTTCGCACGGTTTTCTAAGGAACGTATCTACCGTGTAAAAAAGGATTGGGTGTATTCTTTTTGCATTTTTATATTATGACTTTGAAAAGAATGAAAGTTTTGCTTGTCTTCACTCCTCTTACTCTTCATAGAAAAAAAAAGAAGAGAGCATAACAAGATTTCATTTCTTCTCTTTAAAAAAAAAATAGTTTTTTTTTGCTTGTGTCATATTTGAAAAACTCACGACGCTTTGCTATGCACTTAGTGGGATCGGCAAGGTATAGTAAATTACGGCCTACTAAAACCGTTTGAAAATGTTACTACAGATGTCTAAAGACGTCAACTGAACCCATTGAACGATGTAAAGAAGACCAACAAAACGTTTAACATACGTAAGCTCATTCTCTTTCATGGCAGCGCTCAACCACTAGGACACATTGTTGCAGTTCCAATTAAAATTTCTGCCGCAACCAGCATACTTGTTATACATATCGTCTTCTCATTGCCATTTGTTCAGATCGATGCAGCGTGGCTTGGCTGGCGTACGGCTTCGTAAAATTGAAGAAGTGCGAAAATGGGTTAATGATTGAATCGCTGCCAAACCAATATAAGTTCTTTCGACACGACGTCGTTATGTTGTCAGAAATGTGGTAAAATATTGTAGAAAATAATGGAAAATATTTTGATTAATATATACCCACCAATTTCTCTCAATAAATGCCTATATGAGTTGTTTTTGTGTTGGTAACAGGTGAAAGCACCGGAAATAATTATTTGATTTTATCATGTTTTCCAACATTTTGGCATTTCTCAAGTCCATTAATTTTATCATTCTTTAATTTTTTTTATCAATTTTATATACATATCCTTCTAAATATGCAGATAAATTTAAATCCTTAAATCTTTTTTGAAACTTTATTTTAAAATATATTTAAATATAATTAATTTTTGTTAATTTTTTTACTTTATTTTGTATACATGCGGTACGACGCAGAAAAGTCTAATGTCTTTAATATTTTATTCTTCTTTTTTTTATTTTATTTCTTAGTATATTAATGTAAAATTTCTAACTTAATATTTTTTTTTTTTTTTTTATCAAGTTTATTTTTTGTTATATCTGTTACAACATTTTTAATTAAAATCTTAATGTAAAAGTATATCAATTATTTATTATTATTTTATCTATAGCGTTTTTAAACTATTTAATATGCTCCATAGAGCGAATGTTAAATAAATCTTAAAAAAATCTGTAATTGATTATCTGAAGAAATGTTGAATTTGAAATCGGAGTTAAATAAAGTTTGAAAAAATTTATTAAAAATACTTTTTTTCTCTTTTATTGTTCACTCATTTCAATGGTTTTCATCTCGTCCTGCGAAGGGCAAGGAAATTAACATGCCTAGGACACGTTTCCTGCGCGCAATGAGAAAAAAAATATATATTATTGACTATCAAGTAGAGAATGCATCATTATTATCTTACAATATGGATCCGGATGATTGCCTTGAAGTTGTCGGCGCCTTCTTAGAACGACACGCTCCGCTAGCATCTCGAAATTGATTTGAACGGCATAACCGCTTAGTAACTTTTATTGGTTGTCGTTTGAGTAATTTAATTTTATATAGTTTAGCATTTTTCATTCCTCTCTCATCTATCATATCTGCCTCTCTAGCTTGTAAAATTCCAGATGCATCTCTCGTTACATAAGCATGTGTTTGATGTAGTGGTTCTGATGTAGAATAAGAAGGTTCTACTTTATTAAGCCATCTTAAGGTTTCGAGAGTGCTTGAAGAAAATGTAGCGTTCGTAACCCTAACCGTTTGATTATCGAAAACATCAGCTTCGGTATTATTGTTTTTTGGTTGTAATGTTGAGATCTCATTATCAATATTTCTTATAGTCGTAGTAAAGGCTTCCGCTGCACTACTTATCGCAGTAGTAGTGGTAGTGGTAGTAGTAGTAGCAGTTTTATTTGCACTGAGATTTAATGTTAAAGGTTTAATGGTCAAATCCTCTTCGTCGTAATAATAGTCTCCATCATCGTTATTCTACGTTTTTGTTTTGTTGTAAATTTTACACATTATTACTTTATATACCTAATAAATGTATAATACATAAGCTTATATACTTTGTATGCTTACATCGACTATCTCGTTTTGGTCCATTTCAATTATAGCCACATCCTTAATTATTATGTGTATGTTATATTTGCCACTTTGTCTTTGATCGTATAAAACACGGCCATTGACAGTGGACTCATCTTCAACCGGTTCCGTTTGATCATCTGATAATGGTTTTGCCAAAGAAAATGCAAGTATCCTACAAACCAGTCCTATGTAAAGCAATTTCATTTTTACTTGTAATTCTATTTTCTATAGTTGTACGTTGCGCTTGCGTGTTATCCACTTGTTAGCTACGCAAAGACTAAATAGGTTATTTGTTGGGTTGCTCGAATTATTGCGAAAATCATTTGATTGTCGTTGTTGCTTCTGCTGGTGCGGTCGCTGTCGATTCAAAGGTTGATATCTGCTACCAGTAGCGCTGCCATCGGTGTTGTTGTTGTTGCAAGTATTTTGATATGAATTTTGCTGTTTATGACCGTAATGACCGCCTCCATAATTAGTGCGTTCGTAATTTCCAACGCTACCGTTGCGCCTTGTGCCAGTGTTCTTATTAAAAAATTGATTTGTTTGCTGTCCTTGATGTTGATTTGTTTGTTATCCTTGATAATGACATATGTGTTGTCCTTGATGTTGATAGCCTTGTTGTCGATAATTGCTGTAATTTTGGCGTTCTCCTTTCCCTTCATTTCTATATTCGCCGCCTAGACAGTGGTTAAGCAATCTGTGCCCACCTTGACTTACGTAGGCCTGTGGCAAATTACGATTAAAGCCAATCTTAGGCCGATAATTAGCATCTCTCGATTCCGGAGCCAGAACGTTGGGCGGATCAATCACTTCTGGTAGTCTAATGGCGTGAAAATAAAAATTTCAAAATCTAATCATTAATCTTAATCACAAAATGCTACAGTTTAGACGTTGTTCGTAATCTGTTTGGCCGCTTGATCTACCGCATGAATGTGCTTCTAATAATTCCCTCCTTAAAATAATAATTAAGACAAAAATCATATGCTACAGTTGCTTAGAGATCAATATCCTCTGTATTTGTTATTATAACGATTATTGGGTTAATTTTATTGCTTAACTAATTCTAAAGTTCTGATCTGGTATACACCCTTTAACGGATACATTAAATTTATCGTACCATCTGCAAAGTTAATCAGCACATGATTGACGAACCGTTGATTCAGGAACTTTCAAATAAAAGAAGCAAAAATTCAGAATTCTTCTGGGTGATAAATAATTGCGGGGTAAACCGGCAATCCATTCTTCTCAATAACTCAATAGCTACGTCCCCTATTGGTGCAACATGGTGGCGGCCAAAAAGAAGCAAGCAAAACGAAAGGGATAAGGGGGATGGCGGATGCAGCCTAGCAGGTGTGTGCTAATTGATAAGTGTTATGCCAATTGAGCACTTACTACGACCAAAGGTAGCTCTACGCACTTGAATTTTGAACGCGTGAATACTGAGTTGTTGCTGGTACTATCGCTATTCTTATCTACTCTATTTGTATTTTGCAATACAATGCCTTCTGGTTTTTCAAATCTTTCGAATGACAGTTAAATTGTTTCACAATAATATTAAACTTGAATTCATTGGAATCATAACTCCATGCGTGAAATAAGTTGCACTTTGGCGCAAATATTTTGCTGAAAACGTCGTAGCATTAGTAAAATCGATTCTAAGGACGGTTATATCTTCCATAAGATGATACCAATATTGCAATTAATGCAAGCGTTTCTTTTATATATATACATATTTCAAATTGTTTAGAATGGCTGCGTCTTACAGAAGTAATTGCATAAGCCCGGTTAACTAATTTATATATGACATACGAAATCTCGCTACGCTATTAGAGTCTTATTGCATGATTACAACCATTGTTTTATCCTGTCTTAGGGGTAAGAAATTTTTTTCAGCTACGAACCAAAATTTTAATTTTCATACCACAGCGAAGCCCAGAACAACGTCCACCTGTTATTAAAACTTCGGCATTGTATGTCAATTTCCCTTCTACTTAAATCGTTCCATGAATAAAAACACATGTAATGAACAAAAACAAGTAACAAAGTTATTTTCGGTGGGGGCCGAATCTCGCCTACCCACCATTCTGCTTTTCGCGTTCTACTCTCCAAGTTCTTTTATATGACACCCATATCGCTGGTATTATTAAGAAAGAATTACTCGCGGTGTCTACCACATTTATTTTACAATTAACCCACTTTTATTCCTTAATTTGTTAATCATGCTGCAGCTCGAAATCGAGCGATTCCGATAGCTTTTGAAATGAGTCTTGTGTTCAATAATTTTAACCAAATTTCGTTTTAGTCAACATAAGCGAGTTTTTTTATGCAAATCAATGAGCCCATGTATGACTCCAAATTTTCTCTGGACAGTATAAATTTACATCTTGGAGTGATTTGTGATTTATTATTATTATTATTATAATTTTAGACTAATGAAATAAATTCTTAGACTAAAAAAAAAGACATTGAGCACTAGGCTATCGGCTCTAATTTAAATAAATGGATATTAAATAATGGGCTTAGTAGTATTAAAAAAGTAATATATTGAATTGATATTCTGTTCTGAAGCTGATTGTAGAATGTCCAAAGGGTTAATCTTTCCAAATGCAATACCTCTAGCCAAGCAAATGTTAAGGCAGTCGCAGAGAATGTGCTTTATGGTGAGAGTTTGTCCACAACTGATTGGGGAGGAAGACTTCTTCAAGATCCATTGGTGAGTTGCAATTGTATGACCAAGGCGAATTCTCGAAAATGTTTGGATCATCATTTTCTCAACATTAGTTGGATATAAAGGTGGAGTTAATTGAGGGTTAATGGAAGAGTAGTTGATGATGGTATTGTAAATTTTCTTCTGCAATTTTCTCTTTAACTTTTCTTTCAATATATCTTTGAAGATCCAACTTTTCCATGACATCATCCATAATTAGAGGAGATTTGTGATTTAAAACTTGCTTTTGTCTCTAGCATTTAATTTCTATTTATCTATCATGCACAGAAAAGTTCTGGTTAAAAAAAAAGGGAGAAGTACTTATCTTTTATCGAGAGATGAGAAATTATCCTCTTACGGGGGAACTTAAACTTTGAATACTTGACATACACATTTTACTTTTCTCTCGGGCTAAATTAATTACAATAACAGTAATAAAAGTACAATAAGACTCGCCGCTAGACTTAATGAATCTTACAAGCTTCTCTTCGGAAAGTATTATCGTTTAGTGAAATCTATAACGGTTTTTTACTATCGATAACAAATTCGATTAATAATGATGTCTTTCTCTCTTCGTGTTCCTCTTAGTTAACATTCGATCAGCTGTTTATTTATTATTCTGTTTCCTCTTTTGACATTCAGATTGAACAGTTGTATATTTGTGTTTGTTCTACTTGTTCTACTCATGAATTAAAACAGAATAAAATACTAGGTAACGTACGAACTGAACGAATTAAATCAAACCTAAAAGCGGAAATTATAAGAATAAAAATGTTAAGAACGAAAACGTACAAACGTTTTTTTGCTTAGAAAAACCAATCCATTAAGATATTTATTTTGTGTTTATAATCAATAAAAAAAAAAAAAACAACTCGTACCGTCTGTTGTTTTGTAAAAATAACAAAAGAAAAAATCCAATAATGTGTGGTAAAAAAGTATTGTTGCAAAAGTATTTTGGTTTGTTTGCGGTTGTAATGCTTTGTGTCCTCTTGTCCGTCAAAGCTGATATTACAACTGAGACCCCATCTTCTGGGATTCTTGTTCGTAATGTTAATTCTGTTAAAATGGATTCGCTAAGCATTTGTCCAGATATGTTGCATTATGTGTTTGAAGATTCCATGCCTCAAGAAGAATTAAAAGCAGGTACTTTCGAGAAGTACCCTTCAACAGATGATGAAAATATACCAGAAGAGCTGGATCTTAGATCATGCGTTGAGGCTTGTTGTGAAAAGAATAAAAACAATACATGTAATGTAGTAGTCTTCGGGTCCAAACAGAAGTGTTATCATGTGCGTTGCGTCACCAATGAAGCCTGTTTGCCGAAAGAACGCAATACCAATGAACGTACAATTCCCAATGAGCGCTTGCAAATGGTTTTGGTAAATCCAGTGAAACGGTCTGATGTTGATTCTGAGAGAATGACGTGGCTAGACACACTAAAGGCTTCGAAAGCCCTTAATGAACTAATACCGCTGGAGGACTTGGCTGAGCATGAGAATATGAATGCTTTGAATTTTTGGAAACGACCGCGCAAATATCAGTATTTAGCTCGGAACTCAGCAGAAGCTGCTCCAAGTTACGACGATGATGAACTCGCTTTGTCCACTGAAAAGAGAATGAAACAGTTCATGATGTCTGGTTTAGATGGTAACGGTGGAATTTTGGGGAATGGTTTAACCTATTTTAGGGGCAACACGCCACCGGAACCGCAAGGATCACAGTACATAACTTGTAATTCGGACATATCAGGAGAAAACAAATGTCCATTAAATGAAGAATGTGTTTCAGTACACATTGAGAGAAGTATGGGTATTTGTAAATGTATACATGGTTTTCGGCGTAACCATTTGCGTGCTTGTGTTCCCGATAATTTGGATTACCCTTTGGATGAATCGGGCGTTGCCCATAATATAATGCTGACGTCAGCGTCTACATATGAAAACGACCCTTTAAAAAAGTTTAGTTCCAAGACGACGGCGGAAAGTGAGGGTACTAAGAAACTTATGGTTTCGGTTGTATCAAAAGAGGTACGTTTACCGGAGAAAGAAGTAACCTTGGCGGCGTTTACAGTACCTGATGAACAATCGAGTAATACAAAATACAAATACCTATGGTCACTAATAAATCAACCAAAAAGTCCAATGAATGGCACCATTTCGGATCAGAGTCAGTCAAAAGTGAAGTTATCAAATCTTTCTGAAGGTTTATACACGTTTAAAGTTACTGTAAACGGAACGAATGGCACTTACGGTGAAGCCATGGCCAATGTTACTGTATTGCCAGAAAAACGTATTAATCGTGTACCTCAGGTTGTAATAACCCCTCGAGAACAAACTATAAGACAACCAACGACAAACGCTGTATTGGATGGCAGCACTAGCACCGATGATGACAAAATTGTATCTTGGCATTGGGAAGTGGTTTCCGGACCAATTGGATATCAACCAAAATTACCAGACGTTAATACGTTGCAATTAACTGATCTCACTTCTCCTGGAAATTATACATTTAAACTCACTGTAACGGATACGGATAATGTAACCAATTCGACAACCGCTACAGTTACTGTGTTAAAAGGAACGGATTATCCACCAGTTGCAAATGCTGGAGATGCTGTCATTCTCTATTTACCTAATAACAATGTTACCCTTAACGGCACGGCTAGTTCAGACGATCACGAAATTGTGGCCTGGGAATGGACTAAAGACGCTGGTGATGAATCTAAAGCAGTGGATATGCAAAATACTAGGACGCCATATGTACAGGTTGGTCTTTTGTGAACTGACATTCAAAGCTCTTCTTTTAATATTGCTCTTTGGAATGGCCAAATGAAGCTTTCGAATTTGGAAGAAGGAATGTACACTTTCGTTTTAAAAGTCACCGACGGTAGTGGACAATCAAGCACAGCAAAAGTTCATGTGTTTGTAAAACCGCCTACCAACTCACCTCCCACAGCAATTGCAGGAACTAATATGGTAACTTTTCAATAAATCTTTTAAATACGATTTCAAACGATAAATATCAATTCCCTCAGACTATAAATCTGCCAATTAATTGGGTCGTTCTAAACGGCTCATCTTCAGCCGATGATATCGGTCTTAAATCCTATGAATGGAAAGAAGTTCAAGGACCTAATGCTGCGGTTATATTGAAGTCTAACGAAACGGTACGTTTTCCATATACAGAAAGAGAAATGCTATGAAAAATCGTTGTGTACATAGGTCGCCAATGCTACAGGTTTAACTTTAGGCTTGTATGAATTTGCGCTTACTGTAGCTGATACCAGTAACAATACCGCCTCCGATCGCTTATGGGTTAAAGTGGTTCAAGAAAAAAATTCGCCACCTGTGGCAAATGCCGGCGGTGATCAAAGCGTCACTTTACCATTATCAGCAATATACCTGAACGGTTCCAGTTCTTATGATGATTTAAGTGTGGCAAAGTATCAATGGACCCGTGAAGACTCCAGTTTAGCAGCCGGGCAAATTGTGGGTAATAGCAACAAGGAGTCCATTATGATTGTAGGTATTTAGTTTATGAAATCAAGATCCCTCTAATAATCCGAGCTTTCATTAAGCTAACAAATCTAGTTTCTGGTCGTTATGTCTTCAAACTGACAGTTAGTGACGAACAAGGCTTAACAAGCACGGATACGGTTAGCGTTTTTGTGCATCCCGATCCAATGTTATTGAATTTGGTACAACTACAACTGCCCATGAATATATCTATGTTAACTTATTCCGCTTTGAATATAATCGCGCAAAAAATTGGTTTACTAATGGGCGATATGAAAGTTGTGGTACGCGAATTGCAATGTGATTCTCGAACGGAGGCAGCCATCTTGGTCTTCTTTGTTCAGGTGAGTCGAGGGCAAAACGAAACTATTTTAAAGGCACTGTCAGCGTTATTTATATTTTGATTTTAGAGTGAGAAAGACGGTAAAATTATACCGATGCCAGGCTTAATAATAGAGCGCTTATTAAAGGAGAAATTGCAGCGCGATGCCTCCATTTTGGGCACTGTCTTCGCAGACGTACGGACTGTAATCTGTCAGAATAAGTGCTCTGACCACGGCGTATGTAATGCTGACACACGGGCTTGTATATGTGAAGCTTTTTGGATGCCTTCCTTCGGTTTTTTTTGGGGCCTGGAAGAAGCTAATTGCGGTATGCGATGAACTTTTATTGAAAACTACCAAAATTCATAAATTCGTTATATATATTTTGTAGATTGGTCGGTCTTGTATGTGTTTGTAGCAGCATTTGTCGCCTTATTGCTGTTATCTACCTTGTTTTGGGGCATAGCTGTGGCTTGCAGGCAAACAAAAAAAACCGCGCTCTAGACCAAAACTCCAAAAATATTCGCTAATTGGAACACAAGACACGGAAGCGCCTAATTGTAAGTTGTCATATCATCGTTTTACGAATGCAAAAATGAATCATTGTTTCTGTAGTTTGCCGTACAAACTCTTTAAGTGATTCTGATACTGATTCTGATGTTCTGTTCGAGTCGCGTTCAAAGTCAAATGGCATTCTTCGTATAAATGGCAGTTTAAAAAGTAATAAAGCCAATGGGCTTGACCGTTCGAAAAATTCGAGTAGACACGCACGTAAGGTAAAAACGTAAATTTCTTAAACGGAATACTTCAAGATGTCTTTGTGATACGTGCGTACGATATGTGTAAAGTTCTCTTACGTATCTAATCGTTTATTTAGGTGTTCGAAATAAGTTCCTGCGCATATGTGCATAATCTTGTATCTTTTATGTGTAATTTATGGATGTTCAATGTAAAGTGCACAAATAGGTTTATTTAGTTAAATTCGCGTTTAATATTTTTTTAATTTTTTTTTTTGCTTTTACTTTCGGTTAACACGTTTTACAAAATATTCATTTATTTATCTATTTTGTTAAAATCTCATTTTATTTGCATTCTTAAATGAGTATGATTTCTTTCACTTAACTCCTTCAAGTATCATTATTTGTATGTGCTTGTAAGACGAAATTGTTTATACGCTAATTTATCGTACTTATGCTTACATTTAAGAATATATGAATATAAAACCAAAGCTCTTAAAATTGAATCTTTTAATTATCGGCAAATTTGCGCATAAAGTTATAATACAAATTGAGATTATGCTCATCATAAAGGGGATGCTTGCACACGACTTGACGAAAATGCCAATACTCGCCCAAAACAATTAACACACCAATAAAGTAACCAATTAGCAGCGGTACAAAGCTGCTCCAGAATTTCTTCATATCTATCAAAGCCTCTTGTGGTAAATCTTCTTCTGCTGGGAAATGTTTAACCACATCTTGAAGCCACTTGTAAATAAGACCAGACTCTAATAGGCGTCGTATGTATTTGTCGATCGATTTCTTTAACGGCGAGTTTCGAGCCATACCTAAAACTACGGGCATGTTGACAACGCATTGCTTCATTATGTGCAGGACGACTTCACGGTCGTCATCGCTTTGGACACCTCTTAATCGTAAATGACGTAAAAAATACTCATTATCATAATAGGCATGGGTACCTTTACCTATATGGCCCGTCTGCAAAAAAATGCGAAAGTAAACGACATTAAGGTTTAAGATTGCATTATGGTAGATGTTTAGAAACAAACGTAAAAGGTGACGTGGACTAACAATTTGAAAAAATGCATACATCTTCAAGTGAATATTCTAAAAGCAATCTTAGCTCCGATTGCATACAGTCGCGAAATGTCCAAAGTAGAATTGCTCCTGGTATGACGATGAACTTCCCGTCAAATGACCGGGATGAATGCCTTCTTACCTGATTGCTGGATAAGGACACACTTAGGCTTAAATAGCGGGTACGCAAAATTTTTAAATGCATCTGCTATTCTAAGCAGATTCGAGTTTATAGTTTCTGTAATATTACGTAAGCACTGTGCTACTTTAGAGGTGTAAGCGGAGATAAGGTTAGCCCATCAACTCGTACGCTCGATTAGATCCTTAACCTTGAGTATTCACTGTTAAAAGGTGGGCAGGGCGGTTTCATTTTCATTTTATAGGAACTCCTTGAGTGGTGGGTAGTAACAGCAATGGCGTTAATTAGTTCCAAATCAACGTGCGTGAGTGCAGAAAAAGTGCATGAAATGAATATGAAAGGGTATAATAATAGGCGTGCAAACAAAAGTCTTTGCATTAAAATTGGTTCCTTCATGCACCGTACATGACTCATTCAATTCTTCTGAAATTTTGTGTATACGTATAAGCTAAAGCTGATTATAACTATCAGAAATGATCAAGTTCGCTTGAAATGGAAACCCACTACCCTATCAAACAGTGGTTTGTCAGATTTTGTGCAAAAAATTTTGATCCTGAAAACGATGAAATTGACAAATCAGAGGCTCTACAATGTTGACGATGCACGAAAATGGGTCAATGACTACTTCACCTGGGAACCACAAAGCGTCTACCGTGACGGCACCCGCACGCTATTCGACAAAAGGCAAAGGACCATAGATAACGACAATGAATATTTCGATTATAACGCCTTACAACGTTTGCTTTGTAATTGAATTTGAATTCTATCAAAAGATGCAAAGAATTTAATTGCACGCCTAATATTTTTAAAACTTGCAATTACCGCTTCTTACCACTTCATTTATGGCATCTATAACTTGTGTTCTGGACCCCAATTCCCTTAGTGTCTTGTCGAAAGCATTGTCGAACAAGTGTTTGTTGTCCTCTGATCCTACAGTCAATATTAATTGACTATTTTTTAATTCCTCTAAAGTATCAACGGTTATACGTGGCGCAGGGTTCGCTAAAATGGCAGTGAAGCTTGCCCTGTATGCTACCGTCACTAGTATGCAATAGATCCAATACCAGCCTGTTAACACCCTAAGTGGCCAGTTTTTTGGTATTTTCGGTAACGACACATACATTAACATTGAATACGTGAGCAGTATACAATTGGAAAAATTATCAAACAAATCCTCATTTTTTAAAGGAATCCGAATGCGATTTAAATATATACGAAAACGCACATCGCGAAAATTTGTAATTGCAACAGATTTACGTTTGCGTAAGAATTTAAAAAATTTCCTCGGTTGTACGCTTTTACGAACTAGAAGCGCATGTAAAAACGAGAGTAAATAAAAAAGTATACCGACTAGAAAGAGCGAGAGGAAAACGCCGATCCACATGCCCAAACTAAATGGCTGTATAAAAGTCTTCCACGAGTTATCTTGTGAAGATTCCGGTGTAAGAAATGTCAAACACTCGTAAGTATGAGGCATACTGAAGTCCAATATGTTGCGATAGGCACTAAACAAATGTAAGTCCCCCATAGCCAATAAAGTTCTGCCGTGGTTCTGTTTTTTGGACAAAGTTTGTGTTACGATCTATTATATATTAAAAACCAAAATGAATAAACCTACAATTTCTCCTATTAATCCAGTATATGAACCGTTGTGTAAAAGACGTCCCCAACGTTCATGCTCGGCATCTGAAGTTTCATAGAGTTGAGGCTTAAAATTCATAGCTTTGCCTAAAGCTTTCATAATTTCCACTTCTAGTCCAATATATTGATGTTTCCTGTGTTTTGATCGCATTATCATTGGGACGTGTGCAAAGACGGCAACCGGTACAGTAAAGTCTAAATAAGTGATCTCTTTTTTATAAGACGTACAAAACATGTAAGAAAATGATATTCGGTCGTGACCGAATCTTTTATATCCATCATCGTTATTCCGAAGAAGACTCGAATAAAACGAAAAACTAAATTTTCATACTCTATAATATTGCAGGGGCGTGGCTGATTATCTCGAGCAATAACGAGCAATAAACACGGAAAGCAAAAATCTTTTCACTCTATGTCGTGTCGTTGGTGGTAGGACGTTGTAGATGGCTCCTTTGACCGATTTTGATTACACATCTTCATTTTTGCAAAAAGGAAAATGCTCATCGCATGCACCATACAGTTTGGCAGACGGACAGATGCATAGACGCTTTTGCCCAGGATCAGGACGAATTTGACACTGATCAAGAATATATATATCTTCTAGGGTTTGTGAAGCTTGCTTCTAGTCATTATAAAGATTCTGAAAAAAAATTGGCACTATAGGCTTGGGTAACTTTTCTCATTTTTATGATTTGGCTCATTTTCAATCCCAACCTCCGTGCAAGAATTTGCAATGCTTCTACCAAATTTTTGATCAGAAAAATGTTTACAACAGGCATTACACGGACGGACAGACGGACCGGTTTAAATCGCTTAAAAATTTAATGTCAATTATCAATTATGGGTTCTCTGAAGATTCCTTCTGAGTGTTGCAAACATTTTTACCGTCGGTGATGGGTATAAAAATTTTAACAAACCTTTGAGATTAGATGGCTTATTTGGAAATAAATCCCATTTTTTTAAACGTTTGCCTTTCTGCCATTTTACTATAAGTTTGGTAGTGATAATACCATTGAAAATACCTGGGAAATTTATAGTGGAAATTTTAAAGCTGTAAAGACAAGAACGTTTATCGCGGAACAAATTGGGAGAGGAGTGTTTTACGAATTCGTTTTACCTCGTAAAGTCCCGTGTCTGTACAAATATTGACGATAGAAGTTTACTCCATACTTGTAACATGTCCTCTTCTATTAAACGATTGTCGTGCATAAATACAAATTTACGGCTCATATTTAGAATTCGATATTTTTCGACAAACATCAGGAAACGTTTGACTTGTAGACCGTTCAGTAATGTTACAAAATGTAAATCGCAATTGAAGGCTTTGATTTGTTTTAGAACTCGTACAGTTTGATAATTCGGTGAAAGTAGATCTTCGGAGGCTTTAACATGCACGTAAAGATATGATAAAGGTTGGCGCGAATACTCAAAGAAATAGTTATCATACAGTGTCTGATACCAACTATCGGTAACGATCATAAAACATCGTTCAACCTGAGATGCAACCAAAAGGTTCGCCAAAAGTTGCCGTAAGTCAGTCATATGAATTGTGGGCTATAAGCTTTTTTAATAGATAGACTATAATTACTAATAGCTTCAGTAAACACCCAAATCATTTTTTACTCGTCTTCTTTTTTATGATTTTCAAATAACACGGTTCGCTAATAAGAAAAAATACATTTTTTTGCATAAATTTTTAGTTCTAGAAAGAATTGCAACAAAATTTTTTTCAATTCTAATTTGAACAGTGTCTTGAAGAAATTTATGTATACAGTAACAAAATATCATTGGGGGAATAACGTGTTTAGATGTCAATCGGTCTATGTCCACGCTTGTGTTTGTGACTTGGTCTACTATAGGCAAGAAAGGCATATTATTATCACTTTTTTCTTTATCTCGTTGTACTTCAATTATTCTTTTGTGCTGGAATGTTCAATTCATAATAAACTTGTACGCTTGTTATCAACCAGCGAGGAATAGTTGCGAAATTAATTTTTATTCCTAATTTCTCCGAATTTCCATCATATACAAATTAAATTTTTTTACTTCTATTACTTCTTTTGTACGGTTTTTTGTGGCAAATATTTAAACTTTCTTCATCGTACAGGATTTTTTCAAGTTGTGTAAGATATCCCCAAATTTAACATGTATCGCCTGTATACTTTTCAATGTTTTTTTTCTTTTTGCACCGTTTTGTAAGGCATACGTCTACCGTGTAAAAAAAGAATTGGGTGTTGCACTATTATTAGAAGCTTCACAAAAATGCTGCACATAAAAGTGAAAAAAAATATCTGTACAATAGTTAAAAAATGTTTGGAGTTTTTTAAGGCCATTTAAGATACGATCAATTGTACAGCCATCCACCTATGGTTCGATGTCCGTCTTTTGCACAAACTGCAATAGAATCCGTGTTATGGCTATAATACATTTAAAAATGGAGTTGACCCGTTCACAAACGAAATTTTAGATAAAAACTTAACGGAAAATTTAATGAAACTGTTTAAAGGTTGGTAGCTCTGCTGATACACCCAAAATTGGATAAAATAATTGGAATACAATTGTCGCACTCGCACTTTACCTTTCTTGAATTGAAATGGCTTTAGCTTTCGGCCATGGTAATAGTATGTTTAGTAGTAAAATGAAGCAACAACGTATTAATTTCATTGCTTGCTTTATCAAAACTGAAAGAAATAGTTGGCTCGCAAAGAAAATAAGGGTATAGGACATAAGAACATACTTTTCATGTTTTGATAAACAGTTTCAATTACCCCTTGTTGACCTATGTTGACCATAATTGTTCAATGCTATCTTCTGTTATTTATAAGGGTTTTCCTCTTTTTTTTATACGCTTTTCTAATATAATAACTTCGCAATATGCTTTCCTTAAATAATGGAGTTTTTCTAATTGGATTTCATTCCTTTTTTGTACATTCCTTTACAATAATTATTGGTATGTTCCACTTTCGAATGTCAAGGTAACGTTTGTTATTTATTTACTACGGTTCTTTTCTTAATTTCTTATTGCGGAATTGAAAAAAAAATTACCGATATATATTTACAAAAGATCTGTATATAAGCATATAATGGCGAACACCAATAACATTAGTGGGGAGTTTAATACAGAAATAAGTGATGTTGTATCTGTACATAGAAAGAAAGCCGGAAAAGAAGGTAAGATACCTTCAATCATTTTCGATTCATCCAATAAAAAGTATACATTAGAAAAGGTCCAGAATAGTGCTCCACAACAACAGGAACCTAGCGAGTTTTCGCTAAGTAAGCCGTCTTCCAAAAGTAGACCACGTTTCCTAAGACGTTCGGGTCAGCAGAAATGCGGTAGCTGCCCGGACCGTCTTTCAAATATCAAAAAATCTGTCCAAGCTTTAGACTCGGATTCAACGGAGGTGGAATCATCGACGGATGAGGAAGAGCGTTGGAAGGATGTGGCCCGTGCAGCTGAGATACCTGCCGATTATTATAATATTCAAAAGTTGGTGAAATTTATTAAGGCCGGCAATCAGACGGCTACTATAGTGTCATTGTGTTGCCTGCGCGATTACGATTTGACCACACAAATCAATCAGTTCGCTATACAAGATATTGGCGGCTTAGAAGTAATGGTTAATATTTTGGAATGCAATGACGCCAAATGCCGTTTAGGTGCACTCTCAGTGCTGGCTGATATCTCATTGAACATAGATATACGCAAGACCATAGTAGACTTGGACGGAATACCATTGATAATTGATATTTTAAACTCTTCAATGAAAGATTTAAAAACGGTGGCGGCTGAAACATTAGCGAACGTTGCAAAAGTACGCTTGGCTAGGAAGTATGTACGCGTTTGCGGCGGTATACCGAAGCTTGTAGATTTGTTGGATATAAAATTACAGTAAGTACCTTGAAAATAAATAATAAAAAATAAAAATCTTACTATTTCAATTTGGTGAGGATCCTTAAAACTCCTCGGGAAGAGCTAACAGCCGAAGAAATCGAGAATCTTAATCAGGCCCGAGCTGGTGCGCGTGCTTTATGGTCTTTGTCCGATTCACGTCACAATAAAGAGTTAATGCGTAAAAGTGGCATAGTCCCTCTAATGGCTCGCCTCCTGAAATCGTGTCATATTGATGTCGTTATTCCGATTATGGGCACAATACAAAAGTGCGCTTCTGAAGTATATAAGAGCATCGCTATGGAATAAGAACCTAGAACTTATTTTGCTTTATTCTCGTTTAGCCTAAATTTCAGTTGGCCATTACCACGGAAGGCATGATCGCTGATATCGTCAATCATTTGAATTCCACAAACTTAGATTTGAAGAAAGAGGGTAGCAGCGCAATCTACAAATGCGCTTTCGATAAGACCACAAGAGATCTGGTAAGGGAGGCTGGAGGTCTGGAACCATTGGTCGCTATTGTCAAGGATAGAAATGTGCGTGACAATAAGCCCCTACTGATCGGTGCTACAGGCGCTATTTGGATGTGCGCCGCTTCTCCCGATAACGTACGTAAATTTGATAATCTACGCACTGTCAATCACTTAGTAACTTTACTGAATGACGAATCCGATGACGTACTAACTAATGTAGTTGGAGCTATAGCGGAGTGTGTGCGTTTTCAAAATAATCGCGAAGTTTTGCGGAATGCAAATGGTTTGCCAGCTCTGGTATGTTTACTGAATTCTTCGCATGCGCCTTTGTTGGAGAATTTAGCGAAAGCTCTGAAAGAATGCGCTCAAGATATACCCAGCATGCGAATTTTAGAAGAACTCGACGCTGTACGTTTGATCTGGTCGTTACTGAAAAACACCAATTCCAGAGTTCAGGCTTTTGCCGCTTACGCCATTTGCCCTTGTGTGCAGAACGCTAATGATTCCGGAGACTTGGTACGCAGTTTGGTAGGGGCGATGGAGTTAGTTGTGGGATTGTTGAAATCTAAAGATGTTCTCGTGTTATCGGCGGTTTGCGCAGCCATAGCTACGATTGCTAAAGATAATACCAACGTAGCTATATTAACGGATCTCAAAGTCATCTATAAATTGGCAAACTTAGGTATCTTTTCTCTTTAAAATATATAAAAAGCAGAAATTTTACATGTAATATTAAACACAGTTAATACCACGGATGATTTGTTGAGAGCGAATTTGGCTGCGGCTATAGCGAGTTGTGCAACCTTTGGTAACAACACTCAGGAGCTGGGTCGCTTGCGAACAGTCACTCCGATTGTTACTTATATGACCAGTGAAGATCCCGAAGTGCATCGCACTACTGCCATGGCGTTGGAGAAACTCTCGATGGACCCGCAAAATTGCATAACTATGCACCAGGTATGGAGAGACTTGACATTAGCCAAAAATTGAGTAAACTACTAGAAAGTATGTATATAATCCTATTGTAGAGCGGAGTGGTGCCATTTCTCTTGGAATGCGTTGGCTCAACCAACAAGGAACTGCAATTGGCCGCCGCCGGCTGTTTACGTAACATACGAGAATTGGCACTTCGTGCTGAGGAATATCTTTTGAAAATCGACGATGACTAGTCGACCTTAGAAGAGAGTTTCTTTCCTTGTTTTAAAAAAATTGATTTTGGGCGAATATTTTATTTTTACTATGTTAACGTATACGAGCCGTTTATTGGCCGTCTGGACCTGGCCTAAGTCGTGGCGTAAGATTTATTTTATAATTGAGATGAACGCTTTTTCAAATATATTCTATTTCATATATATATGTATGTATTCTAGATATCTTACTTACAAATTATTTCAAAGTAAAGAAATAATATACAAAAAAAACAAAAATGCATTTATTTTTGCAAAATGCAATTATTAAATATCTTCTTCAGAATATATATATGTAAATGTATATTTGTGTCAAGTTTTATCTAACTAAATTAATAATAAGAAATAAATAAATGGAATCTAAATGTTAGCTTAATATAAAATAATAAATAACATTTAAAGCACTTGTGTTTAATAGCTGGCATTACTGCCCCGGGTGGAAATACTCATACGTCTTTCAACGCGATTTGTGTGCGGCATTAAACAACCAGGTGGAGGATAACGCCAACGGCGTGGACGTGATAGCAGCGTTCCATCGGTGCAAGCTCGGCTACGAAACGGTGTCTCTAGTTCACTTTGAGAGCTATTTAAACTGCCCGAGCCCAATTCATCGGTGGATTCTGAATGATCGGTTTCCTCTAGACAAGCACTTCCTATAATAAAACGATTACGTCATTAAAAAGTAATTTTTGTTAAGTAATTTAATATAAACCTATAATTAGAAATGATCTCCTGGTTTCATGGGCTAAAGAAGCGGAATCATGAAAGGAACAACCGGAATCAGGACTCATAACCAAATCATTGGTATTTTGAACATCACTAGTGGAACGTTTAAGTTTTGGAAATTTGCTAAAAACACGCCAAAAACGAAACACATCACGAAATACTGCTTGAACCTAGAAAATATTTTAGAGAATACAGGCATCTCACCGGGGCATTGAATCGAGAATAAGAACAATAGGTTTTTGAAGTCTCGTACCTGATCTACACTTTCTCTTACGGATATCTCGTGGAAGCATGCACAAGATAACTCTTTAAATCGGCGTTGACCTTCCTCTAAACCAACCATACGATCACCGGTTTGATCTGTTTTATTACCCACTAAAATGACTGGCACATCTGACATACAATCCTTATGATTCGAGCCCAATTTGCGCCTTCTCTTATTGTAGTTAATAAGAAATTTTAAACGATTGCATTCATCAAAACTGCATTTATCGGTAACTGAATACATAAGTACAAAAGCATCAGCCCAACGTATATTCGATTCCAAGTTGATAGCATCGATTTCCTGAAGATAACCACATGCAAAATATTCTGTTTACAAAAACTGCGATATCTCTTACATTTGGCTGCCCAGCTGCATCTAAAATATCAAATTGTGCATAGTCGTTATCCAGGATCGTGTTGTGTGTATAGATTTTCTCCAAGTTTGGATCATATTCGCCTATAAAACGTTTCGTGATGAAACGGACCACCATAGCTGTTTTACCCACACCCGATTGGCCCAAAACCATAACTTTCAACGATTTATGCTTCGGATGTATTCCCAACTTGGCCAGCGATGATTTTGGTGACGTGGTATTCATTTGGCAGAATAGCCTGAAGAAATGAACTAAAATCTGTTATGCGTTAAATCTCAGTGATTTCAGTGATATTTTTATTACATATACACGTTTGATTTGTATATAGAGATGTATGTGTATACGTAATTATCGAAATATTCGAGTGTTTACGAACGAGGCTTCATTATTGATGAATTGGATTTTTTGAATGCGTGTAATGCATGAAAGAGGCATCAGAGACTTTATAGGGTGATTGTATTATCTGTTTGTCGTATGGCGGATGATCGCCACGGAATTATAATGCTTGTATTACGGCGATATTAGGATCCTCATATAATGTTTGTCATTTTATGGGGTAGTCGGCAAAATTAAAGACTATTAAGACGGGCGTCGACACGATCGTCAAAAATAGTCACTTGCTAAGATGAGATGTGCGTTCACGTCTGTCTTAAGCGCGCATCATTTCATTGGCGGAACATAAATGATATTTTATTCTTTTGGACTTGTTTGCGTTTTTATACAAATTTTTACGGTTCGTGCAAAAGTGATTATTTAACGATATTTTGCAAATAATTTTAACTTTAATAATATAATCGCTGACTTAATAATTTCGCTCAACAATGTATCACATTACAGCTACCTGCATACAAACAAATTATGTTGAAGCAATGCTGCATTGTTGAGCGGGTCATAACTGAATTAAGACAGTGTATGGGGAGTGTGCCGAGTTTATTGTACTTGTACAGTACTTACTGTATAAGCACGCTAAAGTCGGTTGATATATAAAAACCGTAATAGAGCAATAATCTGGTCCCTAATTTTTCTTTCGCTTTTGCCTTCGTTCGAAGTACTTTAAATCGGCTCGGTGGTAAAGGATTACTGGTGATCAGAACTATATGTACGTACATATATATACCAAATTACTTCCAAGTAGAAGGAGGTTCTACGATACCGCTATGAACCTAAACATTGATCAAGAAACAATCGTGAATTGTTTGCGTAAGAAAGGATACAAAAAGAGGTTACATGAATTAACGCGGAAGAATTTGAAAGACCGAAAAAGGGATCGAAAAATTGAATGAATTGAGTGTCTGTTTGTGAGTCGCTGCTGAAGTGAAAAGTTTTGAAGCCATTTTTAAAGACGTTGTTACTAGACGATGAATAGTACACACACGACAATAGCGTGGTCTATAACTGAGATAAAGCGTGAGGTACATTAATAAAATGTAAAGATATCGTCTTCTATCACATCATCGAAGGAAATATTGCAGAAACGTAGCTGGAAAGTTTTAATGCACCCGGATGGGCCCCGAGCCATCAAGTTACAATTTTTTTCGCTCTCTATGCACAGCTAAAAACGATAAGATTTAGTTATTTGCTCAGAAATATCGGAAGTACTGTAGTAACAGCGTGAAGGTTTTACTAGAGAAGTGATAAACGATTGCGGAAAAAGAATCAAACAAATGGTTTAGTAAATGTCGTTTAGAATAAAAAAGAACTGTATTTGAATTTTGGTAAAAAGACGTCACGAATTTTTCGTTGACATACGTTGCACAATACATTGCACGACTTACGATGCTCAGTATGCTCATATGTAGTCTTGAAGCGGGCAAAAAAATACGTCAAACGACCATTTTTGTATTGGTTTGTGGTTCAGAGAATAAATAAATTGACACGAAGAAAAACATTCATTCGGATTATTTTAGCTATTTAAGCACATTCTGATCTTTTGATGTGTGTTTTACTACGAATTCGTGCATTGCATACTATACGTATGTATGTTCCTATAAAAATTAATGCGCTTATTTAAATGCGTGTGATCTGGCTTTAATACCTTTTAACATTCGTAAACAAGAGTATGCGTAGGAAATACGTATTTAACTAAAATTTAAATATTTATATGCGTTCCTGTTTATTCGCTTTTTAAAATCACATCTCTCCTGAAAAGTCCGCTAATCACAACAAGTGAAAGCACTACAGTAGATCACGATTGAATGGAATGGTCGAGAAAGTGGTCGAATTTGAACCAGTTTCGGCAGCATTCATTTTTGGGTCAAAGTACCACAGTGTATTTAAATACATGAAAATATCTCAATAATTGCGGTTTGTAGGGTGAATACGAGAAAGCAGAACGGACAAACAAGTTTAAATCGATTTAGAAGTAAATTCAGAAAGTGATTCTGAATCTATCATTATAATAAAAGATGAGTCTTTCTGACGTTCCTCTGGATGTCCCATATTTCTGCACAAGCCGAACATACACTTGTATCACAACATTCAAAAACATCTATAATGTATTCATTTTTACGAGTTTTGCAGACATATCCTGGGAGACAAAAGTTTTCCTTTAAAAAAAGGAAATAAGTTTCATTGAGTTTAGTGCTTCTTCTTCTTATCCTTTTTTTGTGATATAGATAGAATTGATAGATTGCGAGAATACTCATTCACTTTCCATCAATAATTTGAACAATTGACATTAGTTTATTTGAAAACAGTTCGATCACAGACCACGAAGCCAAGGATTTAATTGGGACCAAGATATATCTTACACCTATGTATCTGCATAGTCTCGACGGACTTCTCCATTAACGCAAGAGATTTAAACCAATTGACTTTTTCTGTAAAACCCGTTTTTAGTCCATGACTTTAAGTAATTTAAAGGTTATGTTAATTGCGGCGTTTTTTATTTCCTTTTTAACGGGAATTAACGCAATGTACTGGCAAAATTAAATTACCTAAATTGATAACTAATGCATTCATTAAATATTCTTGAGATTCAAATTGATATAATTTCAATAAGTAAAAGTGCATAGTGGACCATAGTCCGCTAATGAACACCCCACGCCGTACAGATAATTATGTAACGACTTTTCAAAATGCGGCGTTATATGAGAAGGGGCTGAAAAAGTGAAACGGCTCGAGCCATATCCAATAGTGTCCGTCTTTGGGGGAAAACACGTCCGTGTACCAAATTTCATGAAAATATCTCAAAAATTACGGCCTGTAGGTTGAACGCAAGAAAATAAGACGGGCAGACGGTCGATGGAGAAACGAATAGACAAGCTCAAAACGATTCAGAAAATAATTCGCTGTAATAATCGGTATAATAAAAGCCGGATGTTGCACACATTCGGATAAACTTAATATACTCTTGTGCCAGAAGTGGTGTAGGGTATAAAAAAACTACATTGTATATTAGGAATATTCACATTTAGGTAATTAATGACCAAAAAAGTTGAAATTGCAAATGACTAAAAATTTTGGGAAATAAATAATCATTGTATTAGGTTAGCGGGAAAGTGCTGTCGTATTAAAAACAAATCATTTCAACTTGAAGATGTTTGATTTGTTACTCAGTAGCCGAAAGGTAGATGCCAAGTTTCTTTGCAAAGCTGCAAAGGGTCTAGATGTGAGTTATCTTTCAACATGAATCACAAAAGCTCACCAGTCGCACCGATGACTTTGTTGAGACTGAATCTGCCGGACGAAATTTGGCAAACAATCTTCTATAGACCCGAACATTTACAACTACACCTGCCAAGGTGTCACATAACCGTTTCACAAGCAATCGACACGCTGCTCCCTTTCTGGAACTGATACAAAATGCTTTGTCGTAAATGAAGCCTATCCATTGCAGTTTATTCACTTTGAAATTAAGACGAATTGAATTCCACCTGCTTGCCTTGACTTGGCGAGGAAAGTTACCTGAAGGTGGTAAAACACGGCAGAGCGTTGCCGCCACAGCCAGTGACAGGATGGTTTCATTACTTTTTTTGCCTGCAGCTAAAACTGCGAAACTCAATGCAATGTAAATCGCACACACAGTGTGCTTTACTACGGTTGTACTAGGCTCAAATGGAGTCAAATTACAACTTGATTGGTGGATAGTATCGGTTTTCCTTACACATCTTTCGTCTATCGTCGTATGCTCAGCATCTACTTGTTTAAAAGTTCCTAGGTAGCGAAGCATTAGCTGCAATTGTGCAATTGACATCGTTATTAGTTCAATTTTTATACCCTGCAAAGCATTTATGAAATAGTAACATGTATGTAAATATAAAATCGTAATTTGCTCATGGATGGCCGTGACCCTACGTGAGTAGGATAGCATGTATATGCCTGCATATGTTCGGAAGAGCAAACGCGCTCTCAACCACTTTTCACACCTTCCAATTTCAATCAAGTAACTGAGTACATGCGATAGTCTCAAGTTCGCTTTAGAAAGCATCCAAATCGGATCAAGCTAAAAAACTATATATAAATAAGACAATAGCTTTTGAATTTTGTAATTTCGTGCAAGACCGACCACTTCCCATGTAATGCCTCATTTTGAAAACTTGAAAGAGATATTTTTACTAAAATATTCGGTGTACAAATTAATTCTGGCCGGCTTCCTTATGAAAAGGATAACCGAAGAAAATATTTAATTGAAAGTTTCATCAATACATTTTTTCCATCATTCTGACTAATATAGTTAATTATAGTTATGGCGTAAGGAGAAATTTTTTTTCCCATAGCGCCCGGCCTATGCAGACCTTCAAAATGTTGTGTGCAGTTTAGGAGCACAACTGGTACGTGAAGCCTAAGAATAACATTTTCATGTGGACAAGTCAAAATTTTAGTAGCTGATCAGAGGAATAGTGGTGCCATAGTTAGTTTCTTCACCTGATACTACCGAGAATTGGACCCTACATTAATTTGGGATTTTGAAGGCTTTTAAACACATATAGTTGTTAAATTTTTACTTACGAAAAATAATTACTGCTTGAACGGAATTCATTAAATTGATTGCAGCGGGAATATGAAATATGTTTAAAAAATTCACTGTTAGCGTTCAGCGTTCAGCGCGCAGCGATTGCTGTATACTGAAAACCGCAACACACTTGGCAATTGTATGGTGTGTAAACACTTGGCGTGTAATACCTACTAATGATTCTCAATTGTAACACGCACGTATCCTGTGCACATATGATATGGTTACAAGTAAAAATTTTCAGCTCAACAATGCTATTTTCCTTGAACTGAGGCATTGCGGCATTGAGATGAAATGAAAGTGA